ACAGGCGCCCGCCACAACGCCCGGCTATTTTTTGGTTGCAGCCGTCATTGTTGTTTGGTGGGTCCGGGCTGGGGATTCAAACCCGCAACCTTAAGTGTACGTGGCTGGCGCCTTAGCTGGTTGAGCTATAGGCGCCAAGCCAGCAACGTCAAACTCTTAGGCTTGAGCATTCCTTCTGCCTCAGCTAGGACTACAGGTGCCCATCACAATGCCCAGCTAGTTTCTCTTTTCTTTTCTTTCTTTCTTTCTTTTTTCTTTTTTTTTTTTTTTTGTTACTACAGACGGAGTCTTTAACTTCTGAGCTCGAGCAATCTACCCACCTTAGCCTCCCAGAATGCTAAGATTATGGACATGAGCCACTGTGCCTGGCCTCAGTCTGCTGTTCTCTGATCAAACTGAGAACCGTCCCATGCCCTTGATACATTGATGTCCCTTTTCTTGCCTGGGAAAACGCTAGCACTTATTCTCAATCATCTGCATGCATTTAATGAGATTTTTACTGAAAAGGCAATGTTTAATTCAGTGGACTAAAGCTCTGTTGGCATCATTTCTCACAACGTGTTACCAAGGAGGGAGACCTTTGACTCTCGGTGCATGTTAACCTGCTGCTCAGCTGAATGGAGGGAGGATGTGAAAAGGTTTCCCCCCACCACCTCCATTCTCATCAGCAGAATAAATACTATCTCCACTTAGGAGATGCTCCTTTTTAGGGGAGCGGGGGAAGAGATGGAATGTTGGGAGAAGTGCAAGGCTGTTCTCTCTTTTTCCTACTAGCCTGTTGGTTTTGTGATCTTTGACAGCCGGGCGGGAGCAGAAGCAGCCAAGAATGCATTGAATGTGAGTAGGCGGAGAACAGGTCCTCCTCCACCCACAGACCTCTTGGGCAATGGGTGTCCAGATGTACCTTATTCCCCAGCTGTCCCAGGGCAGAGTCCTTGGCTATACTGTGCCAAATGCCGTTACTCCCAAGGCCTGAGCAGCATTTCCTCTGCTGTGGCAAGTCTTTTGGGCAAGCTTGTTTCTTGGGCCCTTCTATACCCACTGCGGTCTGAGTCCTACAGAGTAAGTCTTTCTTGTCCTTTCCTTCCCGTGCAGGGTATTCGCTTTGATCCTGAGAACCCGCAGACCCTGAGGCTAGAGTTTGCCAAAGCCAACACCAAGATGGCCAAGAGCAAGCTGATAGCAACACCAAATCCCAGCAATGTGCACCCTGCCCTAGGAGCACACTTCATCGCACGGGACCCCTGTGAGTGGCACTCTGAGCTCTTTTGCCCTTTTACTTGGCCCAGGCTGAGGAAGGGTTTCACATAGAGCATTTATTGAGTTTCTCTTCTTGAGGGAGTCACTCTTGCCCCCTCTGCCCCTTTTCAGTTTTTTTTTTTTTTTTTTTTTTGCAGTTTTTGGCCGGGGCTGGGTTTGAACCTGCCACCTCCGGCATATGGGGCTGGCGCCTTACTCCTTTGAGCCACAACACCGCCCTCTGCCCCTTTTCTTCTTGCGTCCATAGCCACCCATCTCAGACTTTAGGCTTCCTTCCTCCCGTGCATCCTTTCTTGAGCTCCTTGAGCTGTCAGGGCTGCCCAGCTTTCGTGAAGCCTTCTCTGATTTCTCTTGGTTGAGACAGGCTGAGGACCACCTGAGAGCATCTTGAAGCAGACACAGGATGCTCACCATGCCAGGCCAAGTTAACGTGGCTTCCTTCCCTGGTCTTAGGGTTGGGGAGGGATCTGGCTTTAGTGAGGGGCTTATTGCTCAACCATAGTGCCAGGCCACTTTTCCAAACAGGGAAGGTGACACCAGTGTTCTGATGATGGAGGCTGTTGTCTTCCATTACAGGTGACCTGATGGGGGCTGCTCTGATCCCTGCATCCCCAGAGACCTGGGCCCCCTACCCTCTGTATACTACAGAGCTGACCCCAGCCATCTCCCATGCTGCATTTACCTACCCAGCTGCCACTGCTGCTGCTGCCGCCCTTCATGCTCAGGTGAGCCCCTTTTGGTGGAGTGAGCAGGAGGAAGAACAAGCAGTCTAGGATGGTCAGACTTAACCTACCTGCCTGCTGAGCCACTGTGGTCCCAGAACTGCAGCAGAACTATTGTCTTCCTGATGGTTTAAAAGGCTAGGTCTCAGGGACCTGAGAAGGGGAGGGAGAAGGTAATCCTCTAGGCCTGGTACAGAATGCAAGGCAGACACAGTGAGCACAGGGACGCCAGCCCTGGTTCAGCCAGCCCCGACATGCATAGCCAGGCACGGGTTTTGATAAAAAACCATGAGTTGTGTTCCAGCCTGGCTATGGTCTCTAGAGCTAGACCACCTGCCTCTGCCTCTTTCTGTCTTTATGAACTTCAAACCTTTTAAGGTTTCTGTGCCTTGATTTTTACTCAGTGAAAAATGCTGAGAATAATATAATCTGCCTCAGGGTTGTGGTGAGAATTAGATGTTAAAACCTGTGAAGTGGGTCAGGAGGGGTGGCTCACACTTGCAATCCTAGCACTATGGGAGGCCAAGGCAGGTACAGTGCTTTAGCTCAGGAGTTCAAGATCAGCCTGAGCCAGAGCGAGACCCCATCTCTAAAAATATCTGGGTATTATAGTGGGCACCTGTGTAATCTCAGCTACTTGAGAGGCTGAGGCAAAAGGATCTCTCTTTTTTTTTTTTTTTGAGACAGAGCCTCAAGCTGTTATCCTGGGTAGAGTGCTGTGGCATCACAGCTCACAGCAACCTCTAACTCCTGGGCTTAAGCAATTCTCTTGCCTCAGCCTCCCAAGTAGCTGGGACTACAGGTGCCCACCACAATGCTTGGCTTTTTTTTTTTGGTTATAGTTGTCACTGTTGTTTGGCAGGCCCGGGCTGGATTCAAACCCACCAGCTCTGGTGTATGTGGCTGGTGCCTTAGCCCCTTGAGCTACAGACACCAAGCCAAGAGGATCTCTTAAAACTCTTAAATCCAAGAGTTGAGGTTGCTGTGAGCTGTGACACTATGGCACTCTATGCCGTGAGTGCTTGCTCTTGTTTCTGTGAAGGCTGGATGGACACTGTCCACTGTGAACCTGTTCTGGCAGGGAAGAGGGAGGGTTATAGCCAGGCCAGATGCTTGAGGGGCAGGCAGGTGGTCAGAGCCCAGACATGGCCCTGGCCACATGGGTGTTTCCTCTGATCTGGTAACTCTGCCCCTGGTGCTCACTGCAGGGGAGGCCTTGTCCCACTGTGGGTGGAGGGTGGGGACATGTCTCACAATGGCGATGACAGGACACTGCCAAATATGGCCACTGGACAGGATGCTGCCCAGAAGCCATAGGAGCAGGCAGCTGAGGGGCAATCTCAAACCCTCCTCAATAAGAGCAGCCCAATTGGGGAGTACTGTGCTGTTGAGAGGGAGAGAATTGAGGTTACCAGGGTGGACCTAGCCTGATCAGTAGGAGGAGATGAGGAAGGAAGGACAAGAGAAACTGGAAGGAGAGTTCACAGGATCCAGAAGTTAAAGATGGGAGGAGTCTAGCATTCTGCCAAGAGCTGAGTACACATCCATTTTCCAGCCCTTTGAGACACTTAGTGACATCTGGGTTTACCCAGTTCCAAGGTGGGAAGTTTAAATGGTTTGCAGCTACCCTAGCAAACTGTTTTTCCCATCAGGGGAATTCTGCCTGGCCACAGCAACTTCCAGTTGTGCTGAGGGCAGAATCATGGTTATACTTGGTGCTCTTCTACAGCTGAACACGCAGATAAGCCTGAGAATTGATTAGATGGTAAAGATCTTCCCTTGGAGGCTATTTACTGCAAACAAAGTTCTGTGGCTGAAATAGAGCAGGGAGCAGGGAACCTGTTGTCCTCTGGGCCCAGCAGGGTGGATTTAACTGCAGGGGCCATGGGAGGGCCCTGGGTGGAATCACAGGTTCCTGCCTGCCAGGCTCTTCACCTTTGCTCCCAGTTTTGCCACAATTAGCTACATGATCTTCACCTCTGGGCTTCCGTATCCCCATCTGTAAAACGAGAGGGTTGGAGCGGATCGAGTGGAGAGGTCCTGCTCTGTCTTCTCTCAGGGGAGGCACCTCTGCTGGGCTGGCCAGGCTGGTGCTGCTCCCTGGCGCTGAGCCCCAGCCTGCATGGCTGGGCCCTCCTGATCTTTTTCTTCCCAGTTTTCTCCTGCCCTACTCAGCTCTGCAGCTCTCCCAGTGTTGGTTCTATGTCTCAATAACTATATAAACCTTGAAGAAGTTACTTAATCTCTTTCTGTCTTAATGTAGTGATAATAGCACCTACTCCCAAGACTGTTGTTAGCCTTTGTAACCCAAAGTTGGTGCTATAAAAGTGCAGATGATGGCTCAGCGCCTGTAGTTCAGTGGTTAGGGAGCTGGCCACATACACCGGGTTTGGTGGGTTTGAACCTGGTCTGGGCCTGCTAAACAACAATGACAACAGCAACGAAAAAGTAGCTGGTCATTGTGGTGGGTGCCTATAGTCCCAGCTACTAGAGAGGCTGAGGCAAGAGAATCGCTTAGGCCCAAGACTTTGAGGTTACTGTGTAAACTGTGGCGCCACAGCACTCTACCAAGGGTGACAGAGTGACTCTGTCTCAGAGAAAAAAGTCCTGATGATCAGATTGTAATTTATGCCATTTTTGTCTGGGTCCTCCCGAGTACCTACTGCAGGCCTAACAGTGCCTAAGTTCCTGCCTTGTGAGCTTCCTGGAACTGAAAGGGAATGGAGGCCACTCTAATAGGGAGTGGTGTTTTGGGGGAATGGCAAGAGATTAGTCATTTGTTATGTGCTTGCTACTTTAGCTCCTATTGAAATGCATTTTCTCAACAAGTACAATGAGCTGTGAGGGCCAAATGCAGTAATAAGCATGAAAGTGTTTCCTAAGGAATAACGTTTTCTTTTTTCCTTGCAAGGGTCTCCCCCTTGCCCCTCAACAGCAGTGCCCCAGAGATGGAGGCTAAAAGTATCTAAATAAAGGGAGTGGACATTGTTGATCCTAAGTGGACCAATAGAAACACTGAATTTTTTCTTTGCCTGGGGACAAGGAGGTGAGGGGCAAGGGCCTCCTTCCTCTACCTTTTGCCCATGAGGGAAAGCTCCATGGCCATGTGGCAGTAGGGACCAAACCTACAGAAAGGGACTTGGAGGTTGTTTGGTCCTTTGTCTTGGCATGAGGCCATCTTGCTCCACTTTCTAATCTTCTGGATAGAATTTTCCTCTTTAAGAGGGTGAGACATGGGTGGTGCCTGTGGGTCAAAGAGTAGGGCACTGGCCCCATATACCAAGGGTGGCGAGTTTGAACCCAGCCCCCGGCAAACTGTAACAAAAAACAGCCAGATGTTGTGGTGGGTGTCTGTAGTCCCAGCTTCTTGGGAGGCTGAGGCAAGAGAATCGCTTAAAACCAAGAGCTGGATGTTGCTGTGAGCTGTGGTGCCATGGCACTCTACTGAGGGCGACAAAATGAGACTGTCTCTAAAAAAGAATAAATAAAAAAAAAAGAAAAATGAAAAAGAAAAAGAGGGTGAGAAAATAAAAGATGTTTTTGGATGGATGTTAGGGATACACTGGGGGGTTTTTTGCAGTTTTTGGCAGTTTTTGGCCAGGGCCGGGTTTGAACCTGCCACCTCCAGCATACGGGGCTGGCGCCTTATTCCTTTGAGCCATAGGTGCCGCCCCGATACACTGGGGTTTAATATACAAAGACGGTACCTAACGGCAGGATTCTCTGACTCTTCTGACATCCCAGGGTCCTCCCAGAATTAATTTCATTTTCTATTTCATCCTGAGGAAACGGGGGTCTCTCATGGCTTTTTTTCACCTTAAGCTGGTTCAGACCCTTACTAGTGACCTTAAGCTTACATAAACCCCCTTGCTTCTATTTTCTTATTTGTACAGTGGAGATGATAGTGTCACCTACTTCGTAAAGTTTTTGTGGGGATCAAGTGAACATAGTATATGAAAATTACTTTGGAATTGCTTTTGGCATGTGGTAAGAGCTTCAAAAGCATTATCTATGGTGGGTCTGCATTTACGGGAAAAAAGATAGGAAGGGTTTTCCCCTTCTTCCTTTGCCACATCGTCCTACTCCCCAGAAAGCCGCTGTACTTTTTTAGGTAGTTGGGAGAATGTATGTAAATAAATCCATGGGTATGAATCTTTGACAAAAATTACTGTACCAAAAACAAATAAATAATTACAATATTCAGCGGTGCCTGTGGCTCAAAGGAGTAGGGCGCCGCCCCATATGCCGGAGGTGGCCGGTTCAAACCCAGTAGCAGCCAAAAACTGCCAAAAAAAAAAAAAATGTATTGCACCTATTTAATCTTTTTTTTTTTTTTTTTTTTTTTTTGAGACAGAGCCTCAAGCTGTCCCCCCGGGTAGAGTGCTGTGGCATTACAGCTCACAGCAACCTCCAACTCCTGGGCTCAAGCGAGTCTCCTGCCTCCGCCTCCCAAGTAGCTGGGACCACAGGCGCCCGCCACAACGCCCGGCTATTTTTTGGTTTCTGCCGTCATTGTTGTTTGGCGGGTCCGGGCTGGGGATTCAAACCCGCCACCTTAGGTGTACGTGGCTGGCGCCTTAGCTGGTTGAGCTATAGGTGCCGAGCCCTATTTAATCTTTTTAAAACTAAATATTAGGACATGTTTTTTCACGTCTGTAAGTATGGGTCCATGTTTTGCATGCCTGACCAGCACACCATTGTACAAATGTGCCCAGCTCCCTGTAGTGGATGGTAAGTTGGGGCTGGTTATGCAACTTGTTGCTACTGATAGGCTGTACCACGGTGGATGTCGTCGTTCACACTACCGGGCACCTCTCCTATTTTGTTTTCCTTATGATAAATTCCTAGGACTACTTTAAGGTCAAAGCATAGACTTGCTGCTGTGGGTTAAGTATTGTTTTAATTGGCTTTCTGATGAGTGAGGCTCCCATATTTGTTGGCTGTTCATATTTCTTCTTACGGAGATTCCTTCCTTTGCCTGTCGCTTAGTATATTTTCTCCGTCCATTATCTGAGAGAGGGCTGAGTTTGTGTCCTGCTACCCTCTTTGTTCTGAAACAGGCCTCTTGGGATCCTAGTTGTAGCCTGTGGAGTGGCCTCTCAGGAGCCCCCACTACCCCTGTGGACAGCTGGAGCCCCTGAAAGGACCCTGAGATCTGTCACCCGGGCCTGGGAGTTTCCTCTTCAGAGCTGGAGCAGGAAGAAGAAATCTAGGAAGGGATTGTGTCTCTTCTGGAGGACCCAGGCCAGGGGCCTATGCCAGTGTCTGGAGGGAAATGGAAAAGTAGCCCCTCTAAGTGCATCCTAGGATCTGCTTCAGTGGCATAGCTGTCCCGACCCGTAAATGGGAGCTTCCTCTGCTTTCTCCCCAAGAAGCCGTTTGACTCATCTCAGGCTGAAGGGAACGTTTCTGGTTTGGAGGCAGCAGGTACCACAGCACCTTGTGGAGTGAGCTGGGACAGGATCTAGCAGATTTGCTGAGGGAGGCCTTAGGAAGCCACCCAAGGCCTCAGCTTCTCCATTATTAAAAGAGGGTAAGTTGGAGGCTTCCTGAGTCCCTCCACTCTGTCATTGGAGCTCTCCCCTTGTGATACCTAGCCAGGCAGGCACTTCCTTCCCATGGGGCTGCCCCAGCTAGAGACTGGGTGAAGGGCAGTGGTCAGGGCTCCCACTGACCAGGCCTTAGGCTTCTAGCTGAGAGGGCATCCCGTGGCTCGGCAAAGGGCAAGAGAAGTTTCCTCCCACAAAGCTGTCAGCCAGGAAAGGAAGGAACCACTTCCAGGTCTTTTAGAGACCAGATAGGAATACAGCCTCTGAATTTGGACAGCTCAAAGGCTGGGGAGGCTTCTGGCTCGGGTGGTATGGGGCTCAGTTCAGGTGGTTCCAGCAGCCCTGGGGTCAGCTGTGTCCTGATGACAGTACTGCCACATCCTTGGAGCCCGGGGAAGACCCTGGTGTTGGCCGAGTGGCCTAGGACTGGTCCTGCTATGTACCAAATATATTGGCATCTTAGAATAGCCAACCCCTACCTTTCTGCCAAGCTCCTGGGAGGATGTGCTAGCTAGGATTCTGGGCTGTACAGGAGCAAGTTCTTCCGAAGCCTTAGCCCCTAGATGGCTTGATATTGCTTGATAGCCTCTCTGCCTACCCAAGGAGGCATAAACTGCAGGCAGCCAAGTGGGTAACTGGGTCTGCCTGCTCCAGCCTCAGGAGAGCTGTCTGCATGGCCATCTTCCAGTTACTTTTTACAGTGGTTCTCATATGCTGTCCTTCCCCTTCCTAAGGAGATTCAGGTCCCTCCCCCATATACCCCCCACCCCATGTCCTGTGGTGCCCTGCCCCCACCCTCTCCCAGGGCGGCATGGGTCAGGCCAGGGCAGACGTGCTTCACCAAGTGGAACGGGCAGGCGGCTGGCCCTACAGTGTTGGCAGACAGCATGGCTTTTGCCTTCCAGACAGCTGGCCCATGGGAGAAGGGTACATGTCATTTTCTTGACCAGTCTCTTGTGAATCCAGCTTTGGGGCACTGCTCTGTGGGTCCTTTTGGCAAGTGCAGAAGTTTAGGTAGCTGCCAGGTACTGGTGACAATGATCTGAAGCTACCCATACCTCCCTGAGGCTCAGCTGGTAGGTTCCAAACCTCTGGACTCAGGAGACTGGTGATGAAGGAATGGGAAGGATGGAAGGGTCTAAACAGGGAAGCATCCAGTGGGATCTCTTTCAACGCTTCTCTGAGGAATCAGACAAGGACCTAGGACTGCAATCTGGGAGACCACACTGACTTTGGGTTTTAATGTCGTAACACCCTGTTACCCACTCCTCACAACCACCCATGACTTAATCATTTCTGCCCTGTACTGAGACCCAGAGAAGCTGAGCAAAGGTTTATAAGGCTAGGCTCGGCGCCTTGTGGCTCAAGCGGCTAAGGCGCCAGCGACGCACACCTGAGCTGGTGGGTTCAAATCCAGCTGGGCCTGCCAAACAACAATGACGGCTGCAACCAAAAATAACTGGGCGTTGTGGCAGGCGCCTATAGTCTCAGCTACTTGGGAGGCGGAGGCAAGAGAATCCCTTGAGCCCAGGAGTTGGAG